AAATTTAATAAAGCACCCCTCTAAGAAGGCTCGCAATTTTCTTCTCCTTAGTTCCCTAGTTGCTGTTGCTGTATGCCACCTCTCGGGGTTCCACACCCCTTCATCAAGGCAGGCCCTTGAGATCGTATTAGGCCATGCCTGCGCGATGGGGGAATCGCGCAGGGCCAGCAGTTCCTTCCTGGAATACAGTCCTGGAATATTGGATTTATCATCACAAACCATCTTTTAAATTAGAGTTATCTTTGCGGTCAGGCAGTAATTTGTCAATCTTAATCCTTGCACCCAGAATAAAACTTGATTTTATTATTTAATAGTCTTTGTTCTTTCAAAAAAAAATTATGAGCACTTTTGTTTTAAAATTAGTTTTTTAAAAGTGTATGTACTGTACGCTGATGTTTGTTTTTATATACCTCATTGCTTATTCTAATATTTCTGTAAATTCTCATTCAGATAAAAAGTGAACAAGCAAAACAATTCTATTCATTTATTTATTTTGTAATATATTTTATTGATTTTTTTAAAAGACATAAATCACTTAATAATTGGTGAACAGTCTGTTGTCCGTGTTATATTTGTAAAACAATCATTAACAATTGATTTCTATAATCCATAATTCACATAATGGTTTTAGTTGATTTCCTCTTTTCCCCAAATATCCTCTTTTGCAAACATTGAGTTAATACAATTCTTATTGTTTTGATAGATAACAATTAAATATATAATTTTTCCCAATATTCCTAAAAATAATAATCACATCAATATAATATTTCTTTTCTATCCAATCATTCTAGTTGCCTTATCATAGTTCCTGTTACAGTTCTTACTTTAATTTGTTTCTCCTACCAAATTCTAGGTATTCTTACTGGTTATGGTTTTCTCAAAAATTAATTACATTTTAAAAAATTAGCTCTTATTTTTTCCATATGAACCATCTCCTCTTTTCCCCTCCCCAGTCCACAAATCCAGAAAGGTAGATGACTCATGGGATCACTGTAGTATAGTGGCCCCCAACCTTTTGAGCACCAAGGACTGGTTCCGTAGAGAAAGGTTTTGCCCGCAGACCAGAGGGGGCGTGGTTTCGCATGCTGCCTGCATCCTGCGGATGGGGCTTTGCTTGTTTGTGTGGCCAGGTTTCTGGCATGCTGCAGCCCAGTACTGGTCTGCACACCCCTGCTGGACACCCCTGCTGGACACCCCTGCTGTAGTACACAAACCAACCAAAGCCATCCAAAACATCCTAAGTAAACCAAACAATCAAGCAGCCCCAGAAGAAAAAAATGGATTCAAACGCCTTGATTTCACAACACATGGACAGAGTTAACCATAGTTTCAAATATGAAACTGAGGATCCTAGACCAAGTCAAGTCCAAAATTGCCACAGAATTCCTGGAAGCCTGGCATTTAGATAAATTGGCCATCAGCAGGCACATAGTGATAAACAATATCTACATTCCATTCAAAAGGAACAATCAAAAGCCAAAAAGGAAACAAAAAGACCAAAAACTTCCTCACCAGCAAGCAATCAGTATGCACATGAGCAGAGATTAACACCAAGATTAACATTATACCAACTGCTTAGCACTGATGATGTTATCTAATTTGGTAATGAAACATCTGCAAGAAAACAACCAAGTTCAGAGAGGAGCAAAGACTTTATAGCTCAACCTTGAGCTACAATTATTGTATTCTATTGGTATGAATTGTGTTCTTGGAATGAGAAAGGCCAACTATTGTTTATCACACATAATAATGAATAAAGCAGCAGGGAAGAATGAAATAAATGTGAGTGATAAATGTATTGCATAAGCTATCTCTAATTTGTTGATATTTATTATTTTTTTCTTTCTTAGATATATGTGGAGCCTTAGAAGGGAGAAAACTGGGAAGTAGAGATGATACCGAAACTGTCAATGAAAACTTAAAAAATGTTGAAGAAAACATGACTGTCAAACAGCAAGAGGATATACCTTTTCTAGATTCCTGCATGGAACAATCTGGTTTTAGTGACCTACAGGATCATACATCTTCTTCATTCTGCAGGACGACACAAGTACAATTGGCTGATGAAGCCATGAATATGAGTACAAATGAACAGATTGATAATGGTGGAGAAAAGACTCTCATTGACCAATCTGCTGCAAATTCATCAGTTGTATGTGAAAATAAGGAATACCAGTTACAGTCCCAGACTATGCTTGACAACCATATGAGTGAAAGTTCTGGAAAGAAAGTGATACAGAGCATCAAGAAAGTCAGTGAGTGGTTTTCCAAAAGCAAGGAGATCCTTTCTTCTAATTCACAGGTGGATGGTTGCAGTGAAGAGCTTCTTCAGGATGCAGATCCAGATTTGTCAAATACTGATTCCTGTATTTCTCAGAAGACAGAACAGATGGAAAATCAAGGGGAATTCATGAAGATAGGTGGAGATGAAAGGCCTTCATCTAAACTAACTGCCTCTGAAATTGTTGACAAAATATTTGGAAAAACATATAAGAGGGAACACATAGTGAATCCTCCTAGAAATGACAATGAAACTATGATCCAAACAGAGGAAGATTCCTGTAATATACACCTGAGAAAGGTATTCATACAAATGAGAAAGGCAATATCTCATTTCAATGATTTCAGGAAGAGACAGAATGTGAAAGCAAGCAATAAGGAATCAGTTGGGGAAAGAGAAGACACTGTTTTGGAAAATAGTAATCAGGCCTTTGCTGTTGTTAAAAAATCCCCAGCAGATCAACCGGAAGCTGCTTTTTCAGTAATAGCCTGTGTTGAGGAAGCAGCATCCAAGTTGAAAGGAGATAAAGATAAACAAGCTCAGAGTGAATGCTACATGTTACCAGAATTGAACCTAACAGATACGGAAAACAAAAGTAGTTATTTGAACAAGAGAAGTAAAGAATTAAACAGACCACTTGGAAAAATGCAGATATTAAATAAAAGCCCTATGTTATCTGAGGAGACGAAGGAAGAACTAGATATTAAGGAGCTGAGAAAAGTGAATCAAGGCCAGATGCAGGTCAGATGGGACAGGGAGCTTCAATTGTTCACAAAAGAAGCCAGGAGACAAAATGAACCGACCAAGAGAAAAAGAAATGTGGATGAGAGAGAACTGAAACAATCCATTTCTCTTTCAGAAAGGATGCCATCTTCCTCTGTAACAGAAGATGACTCCTGTGTCCTGCAGGACAATCTGAAGAAAGCAAAGTCTTATTCAGATACCAGCATGATTGATAAGCAGCACCTTCGTAATGTAGACATGGCTTATGCTAACCATGAAAACTTTCCTCATGTGATTGGGACTGTAAAAGACATTCTGAATACTGAAGAGACTGCAGAGAGCCACAGTGCAAATGCCCAAGGCAAGAGCTCACTCTTGCAGTTTCATCCTGGAAAGGTAGAACAAGATGTTTATAAGGATGAACAGGTCATAGTGAATCAACGTAAGAAATATGCAGTGTGTTCTCAAATAATACAGAGTGATGGAATTTGCACAGATAATTGCAAATTCCCTAAAACCAACAATAAAGCTATAGGGAGTTATGAATTGAATCTGGAAACTGATGAGAGTGAACTAAATACAAGCTTCATGCAGAATATATTTGGCTGCTGCAAACGCCAGTCATTCTTGCTGCATCAAAGTCCAGTAAAGGAATTGGCTGTAGATATTAAATATTTGCAAGGGTTAAGCCCTGACAAAGAGACTAAAGATGGAACACATGAAGACAAATGTGATGTTGTTTCTTGTGAGGAAAATAAAAGTACCTCAATCCAAACACCAACATCTTGTACATCCAGTTTTTCTGAACATAAAAATGAATACCTTCAGTTTTCCTGGCAAGTTCCATTTCCTGATTGTCCATTAATACCTCTGCAATCAGTTACCAGAAATGAAGAAGTTGAATATCAGTCAGAAAGTAAAAAGACAATGGGTGAAGAGAAACAGTCTCCAGTGTTAGAGAAAAAAATTGAAAGTCCAGATGATTGCATTGGAAATTTGAATGTCTGGGAAAATAGCAATTTGCATGATACAAGTTTCAGCCTTATTAATGGGAGTAGTTCTGGTTCAGTTCATTTTCAAGAAGCAAAATCCAAAGATATTGAAAACAAAAAAATGGAACTGAATCCTCAGACAGAATTAATGCAACAACATTCTTTAACTTCTCTACCATTGTTACCTAGTTTCATCCATGCTGAAAAGAAAAAGAACCTCATGGAAGAAAAGCAATTGAACAATGACACAGAAAAAGCTGTTAATGTTTCTAGCACTGGTGGGGTTAAGAGCTTGATTCCCAAACTGAACTTAGAATGTACTGCAAGGGAGCATCAGCATTTTGAACTGCTGTCAGAGACACCAGACAACTTGCTGGACCCACCTACCAAAAATAAAAAGGGTTCACCAAACCTTTGGGATAAGAATGACATCTTGGCCATGCCTACTAAAATAGACAAGCAAACCACTAATGTGACAGATCTGGATAGCAGAAACAAATGCAGTCTCATGTTGAAGAGTCAGGATTTTGTTTTGACTTACCAGAAATTGCTACAGAAGCTGCCGTCCTCAGAAGAGGATTCCAGTGAAGAGGAAAAACTTCTTTCTTTTCAGAAACTAATAAACATGCAAAGCACACAATCATACTCAGTGAAAGAGAAGGAGATACCAGTAGAGATGCTAGCATCAAAGAGCAGCAGCAGAAGTTGTTTCAAACACAAAAAGGAGGATATCTGCCAAAGCCAGGAATCAGAATGCTCTGTGAATTTGTTTTCCTCCCAATCAAATGTATCTGTGGTTTCTGGACTGGCTTGTAATTCAAAGGATTTAATCCCATTCTCTAATTCCAAAGAGAAATTGCCCAGTCTCAGTGGGAATAACAAAGACATTTCACATAGTGATGAAGTCTCTAGTGATATTGAGCAACTAAAATGTGGGCAAGAAGAATATGCACATTCAGAATCCAATTTAGGTACAATATTGCCATTGCAAGTATTAGCTAGAATAGCTTTATTTTTAAATAACCTTCTGCAATTTTGAATATCTATATCTATTTATTTTTAAATAACCTTCTGCAATTTTGAATATCTATTTCTAGCTCCAATGAGAAAAAAAGTATTCATCTTGGTACTTTTTTATGAATTAATCCAGGGATTCTCAAGCTTTTCAAGATTATGAATTCCTTACAGCAGGGGTGTCAAACTGCTGGCCTGCAGGCCAGATGTGTCACGCCAAAACTGCGCCCACCCCATTGCTGACAATGGGAAAAAAGTTGCGATACATCGCAACACATCACGTGACATCACGAGTTTGACACCCATGCCTTACAGTAACACATAAATTTGTTTTGCCCACCAAATAAAATCAAGGGAGGTTGAAGCAAGTAATAAATTACTTTTATTTTGTTAGTTTTATTAATTACATTTTATTTACATAACAAAATGATGGTACTGTGAAATTTTATAAGATTTAAAAAGTTTAACCATCCATTTTTTAATTGGAAGAATGAACTCTTATCTGGGTTTCATTTTTGAGACAACAATTCTCATTACGTATCCTTTATCTTATCATATAAATTATTAATCAGCACCTGCTCTATCAATAATAGCATTTAATCAACATTTGTTCTTTCTCTCAATTGTTAAATATTGTCTCAGTGGGATGTTATAAATTAATCATTTTGTACATAACATTTTTGGTAGTTGGCATGTCAATTTAAATTCCTAAAAAATTGTTAAATGCTAAAAGAACTTCATGTAATTCATTATTTTTTATTATAATTTTAATTTTTAATTTTAATCTGAATTTTTATTTTGCTTGTCCATTCCAAATGAATTGGTGACTAGATTTTTTTTTTTTTGTCTCTTATGGTTTGTCACACAATCGGCCAGATGTTCACACTGAATTTGGCATTTTTTATTTACCTATCGAATCCTTCCCAGGGACCTGGGATAGGCAGATGTGCATGGTAGATAGTGTTACAGTTATCCTCGCAGGATGGAAGTTGTTCCAAGTAAAACTGACTTCTGCAATTGACTGGTAGTGAATTTGTCAGTGCCAATGGTATTCAACTGGTGCTCCAGTTGTTTTGGGATGGCATCCAAGGTGCCTAATACTAATGGAAGTACATTTGCTTTTTTTTGCCATAGTCGTTTTATTTTGATTTGTAGATCTTTGTATTTTGTTATCTTCTCCAGTTCCTTCTCTTGTATTCTACTGTCTCCAGGTACTGCCATGTCCATCATCCAGACTTGTTTGTCTTATTAACAATTGATAAGTTTGGCGTATTATGTGATAGATGCCTGTCTGTTTGAATTCTAAAGTCCCAGAGGACTTTAGCATTTTTCTCTATAACTTTCTCTGTTTTATGGTCTTACCAGTTCTTGCTTGCAGGCAAATGGTATTTCTTGCCATGCACCATTGTTGCTACTTTGTTACACTGTTGCTTGTAGTCAAATGTCAGTCTGCAATCTTCTTGCAGCACCTAAGCTAGTAGTCCACTGCTTCTTCCACAGTGGTGGCACTTGCTAACTGTTGCTCTCTGCTGAATCTCACTTTGTATGTGCAGCTAGTCCTTGATCTACATCAGTTCATTTAGTGCCTATTTAAAGTTACAACGGTGCTGAAAAAAATGGCTTATAACTATTTTTCACATTTATGACCCTTGCAACATCTCCAAGGTCACATGATCAAAATTCAAACGCTTGGCAACTGACTCATATTTATGACAGTGGGGATGTCCCAGAGTCATATGATCCCCTTTTGTGCCCTGCTGACAAGCACAGTCAATGGGAGTAGCCAGATTCTCAACTTGCCACTAATTTAACAATTGCAATGATTTACTTAAAAACGGTGACAAGAAAGGTCATAAAATGGGACAAAACTCACTTAACTGTCTTATTTAATAACATAAATTTTGGGGTCAATTGTTGTAAGTCAAGGACTATCCGTATTTGTTCTTAAGGCTTCGTCTTGTGCAGTCAGAATTATCCTATCCGTCTCTTTTTTTAACTTTCTTAGCCATTGCCAGGTCTTGTTATTATCTGCTTTATCTGTTATTTTTTTTATTTACTGGACATGTAATATTTTATTTTCCCATGACTCTTCTGTTTTTCATTTGGGTCTTTTTATAGGTCAGTTTGGCCTCTACAGTACACAGTAAGTCTTTCTGATATACTAGCTTCAGTGCATTTTCTTCACTATTCTTCAGATATTCTTCTAATGAGCTTATTTCTTCTTCAACCTTCTGATGTACTTGACACATTCCATGCCTAGCTATTTTCTTTGGTAAGTAGAATCTGTCAACGTCACTCTGAAAATGAAGGGCATGATTCATTGTAATTATTTTTCAAGTCTTGTTATCCAGGGTTTTTGTTCTCCTTGAATTTAGCCCACTATTCCAGCTATGTATCTAATGATTGGAACTGCCTAGGAATTAATTACTTCAATAGTATTTCCTCTACTGGGTTTGAACATTATGATCTTCACTCTCTTTATGTATTCACATCTAACCTTTTTGTTGATTTCATTATGCTTGATGTTGTCAGCTTGAAGGATACCCTAGTATTTGTAGTAATCATCTTCATCCAGACTCTTAATGTTATTTCCATAAGGCATCTAGATTCTTTCAGTGTTCACTAGTTTTCCCCATTTGATGGTAAGCATGGCACATTTATCCAATCCCAACTCCATAGCAATATTTTGGCTGTGTTATGCAGCAATTCTATTTCAGATGTGTTTTTAAATACAATTTCAGATCATCCCATAGTTCGAAAGGAGCTGGCAGATGTTATCTCAGAACCATTCGAGACCGCCTCCTGCCGCAGAGTACCTCCCATCGACCGGTACGCTCCCATAGAGTGGGTCTCCTCAGGGTGCCGTCAGCCAGACAGTGCCGGCTGGCGACCCCAAGGGGGAGGGCCTTCTCTGTGGGAGCTCCCACCCTCTGGAATGAACTGCCCCCAGAGATCAGGGTTATCCCTGATCTCCCTTCCTTTCGNTTGCAGGACTGGCCTAGGGTAATTTTTAGGGGGGTTTTAATTATATTTTAAAATTCGACAAATATTTAAATATTCCTTTTAATTAATTTTAAATTTGTATTGTTTTGTATGTATTTTAAATAGATTGTCAGCCGCCCTGAGTCCTACGGGAGAAGGGCGGGATATAAATCCAATAAATAAATAAATAAATAAATAAATATCTTTCAAAAATCCTGGCGCACTGGGGAAGTACATGAGGATTGGAAAAGGGCTGATGTGGTTCCTGTCTTCAAGAAAGGGAAAAAAAACAGACCCAGGAAACTACAGACCAATCAGTCTAACATCAATACCTGGGAAGATCCTGGAACAGATAATCAAAAAACAGATCTGCGAACAACTAGAAGCAAACAAAGTTATAACCAGTAGCCAGCACAGGTTTGTCAAAAACAGATCATGCCAAACCAATCTCATTTCATTCTTTGATAAAATGACTAAATTAGTAGAACAGCGAAACGCTGTGGACATAGTATACTTAGACTTCAGTAAGGCATTTGACAAAGTAGACCACAACCTGCTGCTTAGTAAACTAGAAAAAGATGGGATAGACAACAACACCATCAGATGGATCTGTAGCTGGCTGACAAACCATACTCAACAAGTAATCCTCAACGGCACTACATCCACATGGAGAGAAGTAAGCAATAGGGTACCACAAGGCTGAGTCTTAGGCCCAGTACTCTTCAATATCTTCATTAATGACTTAGATAAGGAAAAAGAAGGGGAGCTCATCAAATTTGCAGATGACACTAAGCTGGCAGGAATAGCCAACATCCCAGAAGCTCAGGATCCAAAAAGATTTGACAAACTTGAACAATGGGCCCTATCAAAAAAATGAATTTTAATGTGGAGAAAAGCACATTTACATTTAGGCAGGAAAAATCAAAGGTTTAAGTACAGATTAGGCAAGACCTGGCTCAAAAACAGCAACTGTGAGAAGGACCTTGGAGTCCTAGTGGATGATTACTTGACTATGAGCCGGCAGTGTGCAGCAGCAGCAGCCAAAAAAGCTAATACAATCCTGGGTTGTATAAACAGGCATAGAATCAAGATCATGCAAAGTATTAATACTGCTTTATAAAACCCTAGTAAGACCACAGCTGGAATACTGCAACCAATTTTGGTCACCGTACTACAAAAAAGATGTTGAGGCCTTGGAAAAAGTTCAGAGAAGAGCAACTAAAATGATCAAAGACCTGGAGACTAAAATATGAAGATTGGCTGCAGGACTTGGGATTGGCTAGTCTAAAGAAAAGAAGAAAGTGGGGCGACATAATAGCAGTATTCCAGTATTTGAGGGGCTGCCACAAAGAAGAGGAGGTCAAACTATTCTCCAAAGCAGCAGAGGGCAGGACAAGAAACAATTATTGGAAATTGACCAAAGAGAGAAGCAACCTGGAATTAAGGACAAAATTCCTAACAGGACAATTAACCAGTGGAACAGCTTGCCTTCTGAAATCGTGGGCATTCCATCACTGGAGGTTTTTAAGAAGAGAATAGACAGTCACCTGTCTGAAATAGTGTAGGTTCTCCTGCTTGAGCAGGGGGCTGGACTAGAAGACCTCCAAGGTCCCTTCCAGCTCTATTCTATTCTATCCATGTAAAGGAGGTGGATTAGTCTGGCAGATGTTTTCAATGTTTGATAGCCATGATCTAGATTATTCAGTATTGCTGACAGAGGAATCAGTGCAGTGATAAACAGTGGTGATATTGAGTCTCCATGCAAGATTCTTCTCTTGATATTAACCTTTCCCAATCTATCACTATTGACCTGCAGCCACATCTTCCATTGTGCCATTGATCTTTGCAAAAAGCTTCTGATGTTTCTACTGACTAGTTGATTATCCAATCATGTGGCAGGGAGTCAACTGTCTTCTAATTAATCCATACTACATTCAGATTGGTCTTCCTTCTCTTGCAGTTTTCCAGAATCATC